CGATCACACACTAATTTCGTAATATTACTCGAAGACATGGTGAAATTTTTCATTTTTTTTTTTTAGAAAGAGAGCTCTGTGCCTTGTCGTCAGTTTGCGCTATAGTTTGTGATAAGGGACTCCGTATTGACGAAGTTACACAATATTCCAATTTGGTCTTGACTACTATGTTCCACCGTAATAACGAAGGATACACGCACAGGTTCAAATCCCGGGCTGATCACTTTACGAAAAAGCACCATAGTTCTGTTCTCGGCAGCGCCTGGCGAGGGGTCCGTCCCCGGAGATCTCTACTCACAGCCCGGGATTCTACGAGCNAGTCAGCGCTGACTGAGTAGTCTAATGGGTAAGCCTTTACTAACATTTTGGGGACCCTCACACGCCAGAATCAAGCTCTGAATCGGGGGATACAAAACCTTGCTAATCAGGATATTCCACAGTTTGAAAGACTTGTTTATCACTTTATTCCCAAAAAGTCTCCCAAGGTCTCCAATATTCACACCCCTCTTCCCGACCTTAACCTCGACCTCCAGTTCCAACGCATCATGCACATCCTCCTCCTGAGAATATGAAATCATCTTACTACGAACAGTATCAAACATAATATACAAGTCCTGCTGATTCTTCACGCTACCAAGCCAAGGTTCTATTTCTAAGCCAGGATTGACACGTAACGTGCCTGAGCGGGTGAAGCCCTGTTGGTCAGCGATGGCCTCAGCTGTCGCCTTGGCCGCTTGCGCCACGATTTGTGCCACGCTGCTGGGGTCGTTGAAGGTAGCTCTTCTAACCTGGCTGGAGGGTGATGGCTGGCTGCCGGAAGGTGGGACTGGGTTGCCGGCTGATAGTGGTTGGGCGTAGGTGACTTGACCCTCGTTGATCCTGTTGGCTTCGAGTTCGGCTTGTACTCGTTGCTGGACGATCTCCTCCACTTTTGTAGTTCTTCCCCGCAAAGAGCGGAGAGGTTGTGGGATTCTACCGATTGCGCGTGACTGCACAACCCCCGGAAGGCTACGCCCGCGCGCAGATACCGTGATATCGGCACACTAGTGTGAAAGGTAAACTACGCGGGGTGCAGCAAGCACGTTCTGGACGTTGCTTTGGGGCACTGGGTAGTCGGCCGTGTTAGGCGGAGAGAGAGAGAGAGGTTGAGCGAGAGTTGGAGAGAGAGTGGGAGAAGAAAACTTGATTGGAGAGAGACGGTGGTGGTGGTGGAAAGAGAGAGGGAAGAAGTACGCAGCACGCACGCAAGCCTCATCATCGCACCGACCACGCCCAAAGGGTCCCCGTGACTGCGCCGGTGGTACCCTTCAACACACGAAATTCCCAACACGTATCCCCCTGGGATCCTCACGACCAGATACTGCTACAAGCATATCTAACACCCCTCGCGGCTCTTCTTCTCGAGCTGCGGTACATAGCCCTCGAAGAACGTTACCAGTGCTCTCCACCTCGCGATGCTGCGCTTCTCCCGCGCCGCCTTGAGCATGGCCTTCAGGGTCGCCTCGAAGGCGCTAATCTTTGAGGCCCCACGCAGTTCCTTAGACGCTTCGGGGATCTCGTGCTGCGCTTCGCTCGTGTACCAGCCTCTCTGCCCTCGTGCGCACCTCGCCAGCGGCGCGGTCTCAGCAGCGGCCGACATCACCGTAGCCGTCAGCTCGGCGGCGGTCTCTCCCGTTGGCCGCCTGAGCGCCGTGGGCGGAGGGCGGCAGGAGGCCCTGTTTTGGAAGGCGACCCGCAAGTGTTTGTCCTTCCTCAACCGCTCGAGGTCGATACGGATCCGGCTGCTTCCGCTGTTCCCCCGCACTCGTCGGTTGGGTGCGACCCGGGGGAGGAGGCGGACAGTCGTAAGCACACGAGGTTGTGGTCAGAGTCCTTGAAGTCGACACGTTTGACGGAGACATTGCGCACGAAACGCCGGTCCGTCTGACGCATGAGGATGAAGTCGAGGCGGTACTTCTCCTTTCCCTTGTTGGAGCTCTGGAATGTGTGCTGCACTCCACCTTTCGATGTTCGGAAGTAGGTGTTGGTCAGGGAGAGTTGGTTGTCTGATGCCAGTCCAAGGAGTCGTTCCCCGTTGCAGTTCATAATGTCGCGTCCGTACGCGCCCATAATCTTGGCATCGCAGCACCCGTCTCGCCTCCTACCAGTACGTGCGTTGGCGTCCATTAGCACCACGAGATGGTCACGGCTGTGAACCTCCCGGATCGCTGCGTCGAGAGCAGTCCAGAAGGAGTCCTTGGCGTTAACATCACCGCCCGCGGTGGTGCGGACAGTTTCCGTGGGGGCGTACCTCACCACGAAAGCTATACTCCGCAGGTGCGGCCAATTGGTAGACGCACCTTCATCAGCCTCGGGCTAATGCACTCCATCGTCCTACCTTCCTCGCCCACACTCTCCCACATGGCCTCCTTGATCGCTATGCCCACACCGTGTGTGCCCCTCCTGTCCTTGGTGCCAGCACGGGCGCCACTCCAGATGATCACGTACCCGTCGTGTGCAATTGAACCTTGCCCCTGTCGTTGGGTCTCCCGAAGTCCTATCACATCACAGCCAGTCGCGGAACAAATCTGCGTGACCGTCATCACGTTGTGACCGATGGGGTTCCTACCGCTGTAGGCGAGCGTGCGTGGACTCACTAGGTCGATTTCGGCCCCGGCCGGGGAGCAGGCCGAGGGGGAAGGTAGAGAGTGTGTGTGTTTATCATTAGCATCGACGGCGCTAACCGGCTGACCAATGAAAATACTTCAGTCTTTTAAGTGCGGTTGAAAAGACAAAACACTTCTATCTGCCATGAACTGGGCGTGTGTGTGTTTATTATGTGGAGTGACCAAAATCGGGTACACCCGGCCCCAATCCGGCCATTATCGGGTAAACCTGCTTTACATAGTCGGCAACGCCCTCCTGGCGCCATTTGATTGGCCGACGAACGCCCCTTCCCGGCCCTGACCCTACTCCCACCCGATCTTGGCTACTTACCCCGGAGGGGTATCCGATCGTACTCTCGCCTACCCGAAAATGGCTGGGCTATTCGACCAACAGACCACCAGCAGACCACGCTCACGAACACACGTCACCAACACCCCGCACTCGAGTTCCGACGCTTCCGACGGCGGGCGGAGGCGGACCTAACACGGCTACCGCGGCGGAACTCTCCTTTGACGTGAATCTCTTTCCTGCAAGGCTCCTTTTGCAACCCACCGCCGACGGCGGAACTCTTTCGGTTCTCGTTTCGTATCGGAGACGGAGGAGAGAGAGGGCCAGGCGGGCGGTGGTGGATGAATACCTCTCAGTACCCCACGTGATCACTTGAGCTGCACACAAATACATGACGCAGCTTAGATATGTCCACCGAAGCATAAGGCACAGAAGCATCAGGCTGTCGCTTTTGTCTGGAATATATCTATGAATAGATATATCAAGACCGGAGATGTATTGCACGTTATTGTGTACGCAAAGGGTCGTTCGTACACAGCATCGCAGCAGCAGCAAGCAGTGGATGCCGTGGGACCTCAGATTAAACAGCGATGATACTTCCTTGACTTCGACCTCTCGTGAGTACGTGTAACACCGGATTATACTTATTGAGAAATGTTTTTTTAATGAGAAAATATTTGGGCAGGTTGGCGCACCAAAAGTGCCAAATAACTTATTTTCGCTCCAACGAAAAACATCCTCGGGCGTCCTCCAAATCGAACACACGCCCTTTCGCCCAAGCTAACACCATGGGCAACGCCGTAAATCACGACAGTTCCGCCGCCAAGGACCCCAAACCGCACCTGCTTCAACACCCCCCCCCCTCCTACCTTCCGAGTAGACAAGATATTATGCTGAAAAGGTTAAGATTTCCCCAATACGCCCGAACGTCGACACTCCTAGACTCTCCGTCAAGAGCATTGGATTCAAAACTTCAAACTAGGGTTGGCGTCAATAGGCACACCTTCAACTACATTCATACGAAAAAAAACGCCACATGGTACTTTCTCGGAAAGCCCCAGAAACCCAACAGATCAGCAGATTCGCGAACCCAATGATGGATCCCAACATCCAACTCTGACAAGACCTGTGCCACAGGTGAAGGAAGACAAAGGAGATAAACAAAAGCAGGGCCTTCTCCTCCCCAATGGATATCGCGAACGAACCGCCAGGTTGCAGCGTGTTTCCGTNAGAAACCCAACAGATCAGCAGATTCGCGAACCCAATGATGGATCCCAACATCCAACTCTGACAAGACCTGTGCCACAGGTGAAGGAAGACAAAGGAGATAAACAAAAGCAGGGCCTGCTACTCCCCAATTGATATCGCGAACGAACCGCCAGGTTGCAGCGTGTTTCCGCGCAGGCTGCCTTGAGAACAACAACCTTCTAGATTGGAAACCTACGTGAACGACCTCAAGCTCAGACACCAGCAGTCATCCTTTCGGGTACGTTGCCGACACCGCAACTTAGAAGTGTTCCGCCTTAGGTTAGGGTTAGTGTTGTCCTGCCATCCTCAGAGTTTGAAGCACCCGACGGGTTTTCTTCACCCCACCCGCCTGTTTGGGTTTCTGAGGTTGAGTTAGTCCCCTCTGCTTTGAAGAGCCCCTGGTGTTGTGGGGTTGCTGTACTGAAGGAGACCCCGCGGTCGGGTTAGCAGCACGACGAGATTTCGCAGATCGCGCCGTCTTCTCGGTCGCGATTTCAGGGGCAGTCGCGTTCTCCTTGTCGACGTCGTCGTCCTTCGTCGAGTGTGTCTCCCCCTACACTCCCGGCACTCCGTCCGCATGGCCACTCCCGTTGTTGTCACGAGGAGGGACATCATCAGTGGTGTCCTCGACCTCCGAGACATCAGACGCCTGGGTTTCCGGCACAACCGAGAGTTGTCCGGCGCGTATCTCGTCTGCGTTGGAGTGTTCTTCCTCAGCCCAGTCGGAGGTAACAACGAAGACCTCGTGGCTGGCGGGTGTCACAACGCGGACTGGGTGCAGTCGGCGGGAGTCCCTCGTAGCCTGAATAGTCTTCTTCATCTGGACCCTGATGGGGCAGCCAAGATTGCCGCTCTCCTGAGCAATGCCATTCGCCCCTACTTTCCACACGCCAGTCATCCGGTCATAGCTAGACACGGCTTGCGGCACACACGTACTCAACACCACTGGGTAGCGGCAGTCTTCATCCGGCGCGCATTCAGTCATCCAGTCATAGCTAGACACGTCTTGCGGCACACACGTACTCAACACCACTGGGTAGCGGCAGTCTTCATCCGGCGCGCATTCAGTCATCCAGTCATAGCTAGACACGTCTTGCGGCACACACGTACTCAACACCACTGGGTAGCGGCAGTCTTCATCCGGCGCGCATTCAGTCATCCAGTCATAGCTAGACACGTCTTGCGGCACACACGTACTAAACACTACTGGGTAGCGGCTGCCGTCTTCATCCAGCGCACATTTCGCGTAGTACACCANCCCACAGGTAGAGAGCACTAGTCTGCGAACCCAAGAACTCCTTCTCGGGAAGACAGGTAGCTTGCAACCCCTCGTGGTTGAGGGCACGGATGAGACGAACATACCCTGCGGCGTCTGCGTCCGGGCACAGGGATTCGGCCGCTTCCTCTTTCGTGTCGTACACAACCATCTGCCCCCAAACCAGCAGGGTCTTCTCGTCGGGTCCGTAGCTTTCTGTTGAAGAGATGCTCAACACCCACTCGTCGTCGTCATCTTTTTGGTTAATCGGTGTACAGCACCGAGGGCAGGGGGCGGGTGGGGGGTCAGACAGTGCAACCACCATCCCTTCTGGGATAGAACACAACAAGGTGTGTATTAGCAAGTTTGGTGAGGCAGATATAGCCGATGTAGACTACTGTTTAT